AATACTACTAATAACACTATACTAAAAATTCCAAACTATAATCTTTTGGTAAGGAACTATCTATATATAAAATCTATATAGTATTTATGTTAATATTTTTGGGTTTATCCATTATATTAATAGCTAAATACAAACCGAATCACAAATACCGTATTCTTTCTGAATATCCGCGCCCAACCCTAATTTACATTGCCAATAATAATGCAAATTTAATATCAAGCTGATTCACAATCCTTTTCTAGTGGGGAGAAATCTAAATCCTAAACTAGAAAAATGAACCCAAACATAATGTTATGAATTTTGTTTGTAGTTTATTTAGGGCGAATAAGCATTTTTACACAATAATTAGTGGGAATATTTTTAGAACCAAAACAGGTATTTTAGAATATTATTATTATCTTTCCTTTTTCCTTTCTTGAAAACGTTTAACTTTACAATATAAAGATTTTTAAACATCTGAAAATTGTGACTTTGGACAGTCTAACCACTAATCTTATAATTTTTGTTCTTGTCGTACACAGTCTCATCCGAATCTAACGACCCAAGATCGAACAAAGATATGTCGATGTCTCAACTACAAGAAACTAACAATGGAGACCTGCAAACAGCTCGCCAGAAACCCTAAAATCCCTCCAGATATCGCCATTGAAGCACTCAAGTCCAAATGTGACAAACAAGAACACAAAACTCCAGATTCGAAAGTTGTAACAAATAGTGTTTCTTGTAGATATTCAGATGAGAAGAAGAAGAAGCCTGTACTGTTGCATCTCAAAGGCTTCGAGATATCGGAGAAATCAGCTCAAGGATTGAAGTCTAGCAGCAGAGGATTTAGTTGGAGGGTTATGGATAGTTTCAGAGGAGGTTTATAAGATCAAATCTTCGAAATTCGTATGGCAAAATCTCATTTGCATCCCAATGTTGTCCAAAGTCTTGTACAAATCATCAGATTCGTGACGTTTTTTGTGATCAAAAGATATGAAATTATGAAGCTTACCTTTCACTTCGATCAAGCAAAATCCCGGCGGCTTCACCATCTGTTTATCTTTCATTTGCTTTCTTACCCGAGCGACTTCATCCCAGTTTCGGTATTCTGAATGCAAGTTAGCCAAGAGCGTGTAACTCCCGCTGTGATTAGGTTGCAGTTTGATCACACGGGAGGCTGCATATTTACCTAACTCGTAGTTCTTGTGTATCACACAAGACCCGAACAAAGCTCCCCATACCGCATATGTTGGCTCCATTGGCATTCTCTCTATTAAAGCCTTTGCCTCTTCTAGCAAACCTTTTCTTCCAAGTAAATCAACCATACATGCATAGTGATCCACATTTGGCTCCAAATTAAAACGTTCCTTCATGCTCATGAAAAGGTTTTTACCCTCTTCAACGAGTCCACCATGAGCACAGGCGCTTAAGACAGCGATAAAAGTAACTTCATTTGGTAAAACATGACTCTTTAACATGTTCTGAAAGAGATCAAATGCGTCTTTTGCATATCCCTGCGCTGCAAGTCCATTAATCATCGCAGTCCAAGTATACACATTTCCCTCAGGAAGTCTCTCGAAAACCAATTTAGCTTCCTCTAAAAACCCACACTTAGCATAAAGATCAATCAATGTTGTTCCCATTGTATTATTTATCTCAATCGAATTCTTAATCATATAACAATGCACCCTTCTTCCTTGATGAAGTGCCCCTAAGTGAGCGCAAGCTGAAAGAACACTACTTAGAGTCTTCACATTAGGCATAACATCACTCTTTAACATCTCTTCGAAAACAGACAGTCCTTTCTCGAAGCAACGACCTTGCACGTATCCAGCAATCAACGAGGTCCAAGTAACCACATTTCGGTTCGGCATTTCATCAAACACTTTCTGTGCATCATCATAACAACCACATTTTACATACATATCAACCAGAGTACTCCCTATAAACACATCACATTTCATCACTCTTCCTGTCTCTAAGTAAAACCCATGAATGCTTCTCCCAAATCGAACGTCTTCAGCTTTCGACGCAGCGCTCAAGACACTAACAACAGTCATTTCATTCGCAGCAATTCCAGTCTTCTTCATCTCCACGAAACAAGCCATTGCTTCTAAAGCATTATCGTTTCTCACAAACCCATCAATCATCGCCGTCCAAGAAACAACGTCTTTATCTTCAGTTCCATCAAAAACTCGAAATCCATAATCGAATAACCCAGAATTAGAATAACACGAAATCAACGAATTCCTCACGAAAAGATCCGAATCAAACCCTAATTTCCCTATATGAGCATGAAACTGAAACGGATTCGCGTCTCTGGATCTAGAAACCGCTTTGAGAAGCGGTGGAAACGTGTGGCGGCTAGGGAAAACGCCGTTTCGCAGCAATTGAACATAAGCGAGAAAGCATAACCGACGATTGTTGAGCGAACTCCCACCGGAGAAGTGACCGACGAGCGAATCCCATAGTTGAATGCTTGGACTTTGGATTTGACATAGTAGACGACGATTGTAGCGGAATTCAGTGCAGCGACGGAGGAGACGGGAGAGGAAGAGATCACGGTGAGTGTAGAAGATCGGAGAAGTGAAGAGTAAGCAGTGGATTTGCTTGAGATGAAGAAAGCTTAATGGAAGATTGAGGAAAGTGTTGAGGTGAAACATTTGCATCAACCAAATTTTGAGGATTCAAAAGGTCAAATTGATGTATTTATAAATTTGGTTT